CGGGAATACACAAACGGGTAAAGCCCCGGGGCCGGCCAGCGCAGCGACAGAAGCGACAGACGGCGAGGCCCTGCCCCACGGACACGGCGGAATCCGTTGCAGTTCCCGCATCATCCATTCGTACCCCGCACCTCGGCTCCGGCAGCACCGCTCTGCTCTGAAGTGAGCCCCCACACTGGGCATGATTCTGGTGTGCCATGGAGTTTGGAATAAATCTACATAATTGGCACATCTTTACAGCACGCCACTTTTTTTTTTTTTTTTGTGCGCACCGATCAGCACTGGATTGGGTGTGAAATGCTCTCCTTGGGAACAAATGCAGAAAATTAATTTCAGCAGGTGTAGGTTTCATGATCAGTACTGGTTTCATTACCACCGCTTTCCTCTCTGCTAGTCAGCAGATAAAAAGAACATGCACAATTTATGTAAGGTACAAGCAAGCCCAGGGAAGGTGTTGGGTTCATTAAATGCCCTAGAAACCCCAAATTACTCATTTTTTTAGAAAAGGAGCTGCTTCTGCCATGGGGAAAAAAAACCCTTACTCCACAGTCCACTAAAATGGCAGCTTCTGCAATAGCAAGTCACTTTTGCTTTGCACTTGAATCTGGAGACGCTCATTCCTCCATTAAAAACAGTCCTTAACTTTTTTTTTTTTTAATATGTTGGGTTATTCTCTGAAGACTGGTTTGACAATACAAACATGGTCAGCGTTTTACCTAATTACAGGAGTAATTTTTCATTTAATGCCTTGGTTGAGCTTGATTTGTCTCCTTTGGAATTACTGCCATTTTTCCAATCAACTCAGATGTGCCCTGTCCTTCGTGCAAGTCAATACTCATGAAAATCAAGCTGATCAGGAAAGAAAGAGGGGCATTCAGAGCAACTGCCTGCCTGCGTAGCCAGCCCCAAAATACACTGTGCGAATTAATGAGCCAGAAGGAGGAAGGCGTATTAACAACCAACCACATCAAGGAATTCTTTTCTTTCCCCTCTTAGCTGGATATATTGGATTAAAAGCCACTACGACTGACTCACAGATGCGAAAGTTTTGCGTGCTTACGTCCCGCTTGTAGGTCAATAAGACTACAAGAACTGAGACAGCAAGATGTTGCAGTGAAAAGGATCTAATTTGTTTTGCCAGCAAAACAGGGCAGTTCACACTGTATGCTGTATACGCTGCCAGTTTGAACTTGTGAACCCATTTGTTAGGACTGTGGAAACAGGAAAACAACAACAAGCTACTACATGAGCAATGTCAAACTTTTATTTCAAACTTTTGCAACACTGCATTAGTTACTGACTGATGCGAAGAAAACCCCCCAGCAGTTTCTTCTCTTTATATAAATGTAATACTGCAACTTCACAGTAATTAGAACCCTGTCTCTAAAATACTTCTGCATAACTGCAAGCAGTTTAAGAAAAAAAAAAAAAAAGGCAACTTTTGATATCGTTGACTTATTTCTGAACTATAGCCTGGCTTCATGATTTCGAACTCTATTGCAGTGAAAATTTCCAGCTACGTGGACCCATAGTGCGCTGTCATCAATGTATAAAATACACCGTTAAACTTCATGTGGTTTTGAGTCCCATATGACCACAAATTAAAGCCAGAGGAATGAGAAATGACTCATGGAAGAGTGGAATAGGTACAGTTGGCCCAGAGTCACCCAAAGAGTGCAAAGTCAAAGCAGGCACTGCAGAAGGGAAAATCAGGTACCTTCATTTTCAAAACAGGTCATTGCCCACAAAGAGCCCAGCGAAGCACCGTTCACCAGAATAAGGACGAGGCTTTTCCGATTGATATTTGAAGGATTCAACTTTTTATCGGTCTGCACGAAGGAGACTTAACTTTGTTTAAAATACTTCTTAGAAACTGCTTCACTCAAGTTTTCTTTTCCCTTTCAGTTGTTTTAAAACCGAGAATTATTTCAGCTAGCGCAAGCTGGGCACCACCAATTTCACAGGCAACCGTTCCTTACACACTGCCTATCCCAGCAAAGAGCGTGTTTAGATGGGGCTTTTGAATCAGTTTGTTTTACAGGACTAAGTCAAGGGTTTGAGGGTTGTTTTTTTTTTCTTTTGTTTTGCTTTTTTAAGCACCTTGTGTGCCACAGAGCAAGCTCTGAAAAAAACACACACATCTGCACAGTAAAATCGTTTTCCTGTCTGGCTGGGTTTTCATACCGATCTCAACCAACGACTCTTTCTGTTGTGCAGGCTTGGGTTTTGACACTTGTCTACTGTGTCTATTAAGATGTTAACAAGCAGCAAGCAGTGTGGGAAAAAAAAAAACCCTCAAGGCATACACCGGTACCGGAAACCACTGGGCAGAACAGAAATTATGTATAATAAAAGAAAACCTTCAAAGATCGTCCTTTGGCTTTTTGCTTGCTTCTGAGAGGCACTTACGAAAAAGAGGTCCAGATCAAGAGGCCCAGGCGCCAAAGAGGCGCTGGTACATACCAAACCGACATGGTATAAAGATGCTTTCCTGCAAGATGCAAGCAGCCAGGCCACCGAAATGGGAATGAGAAATTTTCCTTTCAGTGCCAGGCTCCCCCTGACTTGAGCAGTCCTGGGCAGAGATTGCGTGCCTCGGTTTCTCTGTCCGTAAGGACAACTCTTAACACTTGACCTCTTTGCTGAGACGTTTTGAGGTGCGTACACAGAAATCAATAAATAAAACAGGAACCTTAATGGTTTTGTGACAGATCCTTTAAAAACTAGACCCTTCTCCCCACGTCCCATAAAGAACTAGCAATATTTATAGGATTAAATTTTTTTTCTTTTTTTTTTTAACACAACATTTAGGAAGTAAAATTCAACACGACAGTTCAATTTTTTTGCTAACCAATTCTACGTTTCACATGTTTCTACAGTGAATCCAAAGGCGCAGAAAAGGGTATACTTAAGTGCCTATAAAACCCAAATTGGCAATATTTGCACAACGGAATCCCCACACAGACATTTTAGCTTTTAATTAAAACAGCAGAACACAATACCAGTTCTAAATTTCTTAGCCCTTACTGTTTACTTATCAATCCTTTTCAACTCCAGAGAATGAAAACTCAGAATTTTTTGTGCTTATTGCAGGCAATCTGTTCCCGTTCTGAGCATCTCCTCCCGCTGCTAAGCAAGAAGAGGCAGACAGAAGGAATACTTTGCCAAAGAAAAGCAGTCCTAATTCAGCAGCAATCAGGACAAACCAATTTATAGTCCCATTTTCAGATTAAACTACTCGAGAAGGGAGAAAGGCCATTGAAGGCCACTTGTTCAACTCCTGACCTAATACATGGGCAAGACAACTCCACAGCATAGCATGCTTACATCAAGCACACACAACGCCGCACAACCCCAGCCCTACAGACCGAGTCTCCTATGAACTCTTCTGAGGTAAGTACCGAGCGTGCGGTTACCGATTTGGTGGTGGTGGTGGTGGTGAGGACTGTCCTCAGCAACGAGTACCTGGGGATGTGCTGGGGAAAGCGGGCATCAAAAGGTGAGCGGGGAGCAGTTCTCTTCATTCCCTTTTGTCCTGCAAAGTCTTCTCCTTTGCTTCCCCCTCGCACCACTAAAACCAGCGGGTGGGCTTTCAGAGTGCTGCCTTTCCTGCACCGTCCCCGCTACCAAATTCACTCATCGCTACAGAATAATTGTGGGAAGGCAATTCATCAGCAATTGCAAAGCTATTTGAGATGGTAGGATACGGGGTGTTCTAAAAGTGAAAAGGACTGTTGTTCTGTCATACAAAGGAGTTTACAACCTATTCCTCATTCAGCTCTCGGTGCCCTAATAAAGTGGCAGCAGAACAGAATACATCGGGTTGTGCTAGACAGAGGGCGAGCGAGAAGGAACGCACAGAAGGCAACTGGGCAATTCTTGACGAAAATTTGAGGTCTCTGGTGTTAAGTGCCACAGCCTGTACACAGGTGAGTAAGGGCTGTGCTACACCATTTCTCAAATTCACACTGATAGTTTTACAGGTCTGGTTACGTGGGACACCATGCTAGTCCACATCTGGCTTCACATCGTAAGGACAGTTAGTGGCAATGATGAGATGTGTTGGTCTCTCCAGGACACGTATGCAGAGGTACACGGGTCCAGAGCATGAAGTAAAGCGTTTGCTGTAATCCCGCACTGGGAATCCACAGGCCCAGAGAGACTGCTTGAATGCAGCGTGCATCAGACAAAGGTCACCAGCGCTTCGGACTGGTGCCTCTGGGTATGGTGGGTGCAGGTGGTGGGGAATAAAAGGTGCAACAATATTAAAAATGTACCTTCGACATCCTTTGCCCTGCCTGAGACAGGCCATCACGTGTCAGAAGATGAAGTGCTCAAAATTATAAAAAAACTTAATCCAAGCATGTGCTTGAACATGGACCATGCTCCATTTCTGGCAGCAGAGCTCCTGGTTGCTACTAGGCTAGTAGAAAAAGGAATCTTCTCACTCCTCTCTTCTTCCCACGCCTCCAGTCATTGTAGCGACGCTGTGCTGAGGACGAACATGCACTGAACAGAAGGCAGTTCAAGATTAGAAAAACCCCCAAAACCAGTGACAGCCAGCTTAGGAAAAAATGATGATGATGATGATAATAAAAGGACACTGCTGCTAGACCCAAGGCAGATGGTGGAGTCAGTGCACCTAACAGCAAGCCCAGCCCGGCGGGGTTGTCTCTTTTATATTAATATAATCCCCGCTCCCGGCAGCAGAGGAACTTCCGTCGCCAGTGGATGAGGACATCATCTTTTCAATCAGGACTCTAGAAGACAAATACACATGAGTTTGGGTTTTGTTCTTTTTTAAACAAGCAGCATCAGGCCACACCATTTTTCAGCAGTACAAAAAAGAAATAGCAATTTGTTTGAGGACACAAAACTCCAGAACTTTACTGGCTGAACGATTAGGTTAAGGACCCTCACAGCACCGCCAGCAGCATTACTGCTATTACCTGGCAGCATCAGAAGACTCTGCAGTGAGCAAATAACTAAGGCCTCCTGTAACCACCCCACATGGGTCCAGTTTAGGACTGGGACACAGCAACAGGCTTCCTAGGTACCAACTGCCCGACCTCAAGGTGAGGTGCGAATACCCCATCTAATACCTTTCAGAAAAGGCCAAATTCTCCATCAAAGGATTGGTGCATCACAAAAGAATTACTAATATCTTTGCACAAAAAGTCCCAGCCTCCCGGTGGAAGCCAGCATATGGACAAACATCCCTGGTATTGTTCAAAGAATTTCTGTTTCCCAAAGCATGTCAGAGCTTAACTTCTGACCTTGCAGAATTCAGTTTCCCTTCAGGAGATTTCCTTGCGTGTTATCGCTGCTATTTGTTACTTACTGCCAGCATCTCCCCTCACCTCAAAGACGGCCGTGTATGAAAAAGGGAATTAACCTTAGAGGTACCACCAGGCGTTGTGCCTACCTCATGGACTCGTTAATATTCTTGTTCTCCTTGACAGACGTCTCCACCCAACCAGAAAAGCCATTTTCTTTGCTGAACCGATCCACTTCGTCTTTTGTCACTGCCCATGGGGAAAGGTCACACTGTAAAACAGGAATCAGTCATTTTAAGTTTAGCCTTTTCATTTTTAAGCTGGGAGGGGAATTCTCCCCCTTGGCTGTTCACTGCCCGTGTGCCAGCAGGCAGCAGGTAGGCTCAGCCTTTCACATCTCCAGATGATAGAGATAGAGAGCTGATAGAGAGCTCCGAGGGCAAGGTTCTTAATATGTGCCAGCAGGCAGCAGGTAGGCTCAGCCCTTCACATCTCCAGATCACACGCTGATAGAGAGCTCCGAGGGCAAGGTTCTTAATGGGATGTTGCAAGCAGCAATATATTTATCTCATCTGAGATACTGACACACCTCAGTTGGGCATGTATGGAATGGAGATTCAGCCAGCACAGGACAAGAAAGCATTGTCACTCATCCAAATTTTGCCTGGCCTCTCAGCAGCAAGGAGAAGTTACTGGTGTGGTGCCACCGAGGCAGCCACGCCGATGCCATGGGACGTACGAAGAGAAAACCTGTCCCATAGGGGCTTGTATTAGGGTGGCTGCAGCACGTACAGTCACACTGATTTCCCTAAAGCAGGCAAAACTGTTACCTTAGAACAGCTATTGGGGGAAAGTGGTATTTGTGAAGAGGTGGAGAAGAAAAGCCACTCTCCTGCCCACCCATCACGTTTTTGAGTCATCTCCAGTTTTAGGCTCTTTCCAACTAGGCAAGTCTCAAACTGAATCTGGAAAGGGGCTGCCAAGCCAACGCTGGCACATGAAGAACATAAAGGTAGTTTTTAAATGAAAGAAAAATAAATCATTAAAAGACAGCAACCAATCCACATGGTGAAACTTGACGCTGCATCCAAATGAAAACTAGACACCCCCCGGCAGCTCCGAACAGAAACGTTACCCGCAGCATCACACACAACCTGCCCGAGCTACCGCAAGTCAAAGACCAAAAAAGAAAAAGAAAAGCTTTAAAATCCAGGAGCTGCAGAGCTCGAGATACGACAGCACAAGGCGCTGCGTCCTCGGACAGAGCAGTTGTTAACATCTCCTTAGTGTCACCCATGCAGTGTCCTTGTTAAGGAGAACCCTTGCTAGAGAAAGAAAATTCGAGACTAGTTAAGGAAAGGATTAAAAAGACCTCAGGCTATGGGACAACTCTGGGCAAGGCTTGGTGCTACAGGGGTCTCCTTCCATTTTGCACTCCCATGCATGCAGACAGACAGACAGACAGTGCGTGGCAAGAGCTGCTCACTTTGTTAGCCAGCAGCAGGCAAGGCACGGGGCTCCCATCTGGCAGCAGGAGCTTGCTGTCCAAATCCTGCTTCCACTTCTGGCTGTTGCTGAACGTGCTGATGTTGGTGACATCAAACATGATAATGCAGGCTGACGCCTCCCTGTAGTACAGCCGGGTCATGGATGTGAAGCGTTCCTGCCCTTCAGGATCAAAAGGAAAAAAAAAATAAATTGTCCCCGCCCTGAGTTACCACTTTTAGATTTGTTCATGCAAATAAGATGCTCATCGTGGTACATCATTTTCTCAGCTGACACTAACAACCTCCACGTAAATAATGAAGAAATAGAGGCACTGAGACACGTCCTGCCTGCGGTACCTCAGCAACGCAGCGGCAGAACTGGAACAAACTGGGGAAGCTCTTAATGCTGACCCAGACACTCAGATGTCCCAGAAATACTCGTGTTACTCCCAGTGTAACAATCTGTATTTAGTGCCCCTGACCACACGTTCGCCTCCCCCCGAGCAGAATCCTGCTCCTGCAAGGCCGTGCCACCAGCGTGGGCTCGTGCTGCTGCCGGCTGCGGGCACAGCGTGACAGCCCAGGCTCCCCGGAGAGAAAAATTCAATACTAAACAGACACCATTAAAACGCACATTCACTGTTACTACTGTTTAGACCTTATGGCCTGCCTGTACTACCAAAGCTGCACCCAGAGATTAACTCCAGTGTGGTTGGATGGTACTTGTGGAGAGGGGACACACCGCAGAGCGCTCACACCGCGTGACACGGGTCAGCGGCACGGCGAAAACCAGCATTTCTGACACCAGAGAGGTTTCCCCATGGGCTCCCGTGCAGCACCGCAGCTGATCAACGGGCTTTTTGCTCTGAAGCCATCGAGAACTGAGCCCTTTGAGTTACCCCAAACCACCCGACCTTCCCTGCACACCTCTGAGGTGCAAGGCAATGCAGCCAGGACTATCGGTGCGCGCATCCCCTCCTGCTCGGGGCACGACGAGAGCACCATGACCAGTGTGGCCCCTTTGCTTTCCAAATCTTAAATGCCTTTTCAGGGCTGAAACTGAAATCAGTTTCTTGCTGCAATTCTCTTGCTGCAAACTTCTCCTTCCTGTTTTCTTTTTAAGGATTCCAGATGTACCCGACTGAGCAGCGAAACTGGAGGAAACCACAACCCTGTTTTCCTCAGCCCTCTAGATCCAGAGGTGCCATTTTAGAGACGCTACTGCACCGGCCTGTCCTCGGTCTTCTGCTGCGAGGAAAATCCAGGAACCACGCTTCCCTGCACCTCTCCGGGGAGCAGGCACTCCTCACTCCGCTGCATCTAACGCTGTCCCCGGGAGCGTGCCCCACTCCCCACCCAGCCCCACCACCTCGGGGGCACCCAAGGGTCTCCTCGTGCCACGACCGCTCCCGAGGGATCAGCTGGCTCTGCTCGCACAGGGCACTGAGCAGCCAGATCCCAACTTCCCAGCCCCGCTCCTGATCCCGGCAGCCAGAGCGGTGCGAGGTCGGTGGAGCCGCTCCACGCTGAGGCGTGAGGATCAGAGATGCCAGAGACCAGGCTGCTAACAGGAGACTCGGGGCTGAGAAGTTACAGATCCAGCTACAAACGAGCTTGTTTCCCCATTTGCTCTGCTCTGGCTTGGAAATTGGAAAGAAAGGCTCGATGGGATTTATCACCTGCGCTGCTGCATTCTTTGCAGGTGGGCTTTTAATTAAATATTTAAATTACTACTGCAAACTAGAGGCAGCACTGCAAACCAGAGCACTCCTGCTC